ATAGCGTCTAGTATTTAATTAAAGTTAGCAGTTGAGTTGCTTATTCTATTCAAGCATTCTAGTATAGCCCACCGTTGTTGTGCAGGGGGATGATACATTCTAGAACTTTGAAGGCAAATGCTGAGGACACATGTTCCTGCTAGGTCATGTGCGGAGGGAGGGAAGTTAGGATTAAGACCTCATGCGTGGTTTTTGGTTTTTGTGCACCTAAAAAGTCTGTGTACCACTAACCACGCTGGTGGGCAGTGAGAGTATACTGTCTGTTACATTATTTTTCTCCGAAATAGTGACAATATGCAATGCAAATTCATTAAGACAGGTAAGACAATCTGCAGGTATGGGAAACCCAAGTTTATTTATGGTGTACTCTCAAGACCACTCTAGATATACGTACTCTCCACCCACAAATGCTGAATGAAACAGTGACAGAGTGGGTAAAAAATCATAAGTAAACGGCCAAACCCTATTTCCTGTGCAGTATTTTCAACGACGGGTTTCATTTAAGACATTGGAGGTCAAAAGGTAGTGCAATCCTTAGTAAATCCCCAGTCCTTAGTAGTAATCCTTAGTGGTGTTTTTAGTGTCACCAAAAAGTGTCTGTTACCAATGTAAAAAATTTCACATGTTTCATAATAACATATTATGTTTATTAAATGGTGCCACGTCAAAGTATGTATATGCTTACTTTGGTTAGTTTTTTAATCAATAATTGCCCATCACTGTATACCTGATAGTCATTTTACTACGGTAGTATGCATTTAAAGGCTTTTCTAGTCATAACAAAATATAATATCAGATTTATTTGGTTGAGTCTATTACGTTCAAAACCATCTTATCTGTTATCTATTATTTATAATAATAGTAGTTTTTTTTGCGTTAGGGGTGTGGGATTTGCTAGGTCATGCTAGGATTTAAAAAATGTATTTTTTATCTAACCTCACAACTCTGATGAATTGCGTGATGCAATGTCCGCCAGACGCCCATCTCTTCACCGCCAGAGACTACTTGACCTACAATCATCAAATCGTTACAAAATGCCTCTGGGTATTAAATTGTTACTAAGCTTAAGCTCATTTTAAAGTTGTCGTACATATGTTTAGCCTAATAATTTGTACCCTATTGTTCATTTCGGTTTGTTTTTATATAATTAAGATCACGATTGCCTTAGTATTTATGTACAGTAAACATATATGAATATAATAATCCCTAGGAATAAAATTACTTAAATCGAAATTGTTAATATTAACAGCAAACACTACTTTGAACCTAGTGAAAACCTGGATACTCTTTCTCAATTGGTGTGAGACCAAATAAAATAAAACTCTGTTTCCTCTTTAAACAAAGAGACGTCTCCACCCACATTCTTACAATAATGTCTTCTGAATGAAGTCCACCGTGTCATGTATGGCACTGGAAGGTTAGTTGATATTGAATTTGAAATTAATTACAGGGTGAGTAGTGTCCGATATTTTGGAATGCTAAAAGAAAATACTAGTTAAACGTTGATGTGATTTGTATAAAACAAAACTATTTACACATTATAAAGTGTTATCTATTTGTACTTTCAATTAAATAAAGTATAGATAAAAATAAATAATGTATTAATAAAAATAAACAAGCCTAACTTAGATCATAAAATATTGAATGATTATAAGCTATAAGAATGATTAATTTTGATGTTTTCTATAGTATGATGTTTTCTATAATGATTTCCCATCATAGTAAATGAACCTCTTAATGTTTTATGCATAATTATTTTCAAAAGGGACCCGTCTGAATCATATTGTTTCGAAAAGTGTATAAACTATTTTTATAATGTTCCTCTATATCCAATACACAATTCAATGACCTTCATTTTGGAAATTTTGCTCGAAATATTCAAATTTGGATTCGTAAATTTGTTTCTTTTCCTCATTCACTTCATTAGGTTGATTTAGTTCAATTTCATATCGAATTGTTGGATCAAGAATTGTCTATTTGTTGGTTTGTTTTTCTAACAAAAAAATGTCCACTCTTCTAGTGCTTCAGTCAGAGGAAAGACAATGTACTGCTTCATGGACTTCCCATGTACTATGTCAGTCTTTCTAATTGGGACTTGAATTGTTTAATATTCTTTTTTTTATTAAAAACGATCCCTTGGGAAAAGTTAACACCTAAATACTTATGTTGTTCAAAGGTTTACAGGGTTTATGTGTCCGCAATTAACCTTTGAACAACATAAACTCACCATCACCAACAATGAACTTCAAATAAATACTTATGTTTTCATTTTCTGAAACACTTCTGATGGAAATTCTCATCTCACCAAATATTACCCTTAACTAATAGCCCTTTTTCGATTACAATGGACTGACATTTGCTGGGGTTTATTTCCAGTCGAATCGAATTAAGTAAATGAATGGCTATAGAAGTAAGGGTTGCTACACTTTCTTTGTTTTTACCAATAATGACTAAATCATCAGCAAATCCCATGATGGTTAGTCTATCTACATCTGGCAAAAGCTCGTATCCGTACGCCTTTTGAACTTCTTTTCACTTAGTTCATTTAAAATAAAATCCGTGCACAAATTATACAACGTAGGGGATAAATGTACACCTTGTAGTAACCCCCGCTTGAAGGGAAACGGGTTGGTTTTACATCCACCAGTTTCAATAATAGTTTGGTTTTCTACCTTAATATTTGCTATCAAGGTTTTGAGTTTCCTAGGAATTTTATGTGATTCAAGTGTTTTTACTAAGTGTTCTTGTCCAACACAATCATAAGCTTTGCAATTGTCCATAAAAATCAATAAAACTTGTTTTTACTCTGTCTTAGCCCTAGTTAAAATGGAGTTTACTAGTTTATGTTAATCGTTGTTCCTGGTGTATGAGTAAAACTTCTTTGGTTTAGGTTGAAATGTACATGATATCGCAGTCTTTTGTCCAAAACTCTTTCAACGCTTCTTCGTAAGACAGAGCAAATAGATATGGGTCTCCAGTTTTTGCATCCTTAACATTAATTATTTACATACATACGTGATGTATCACTTGGAGATAAATTATATTAAATTCACCCGAGAGTACGAAAATAAAATGTGAATAAACGACCTATTACTATTACTCTTTTACTAGTACCACCATAATAAATGTCATCTTGGCCGATTCTTACAAGGACAGCAAAACAAGATAAACTTTACGTTGAAGATTTTCTTTTAATGCTATTCAATGTGAATTTCAAATTTTAAAGTCGGTGTTTTGAAGAATAAAAGCTTAAAGGTTACCTATTTTAATGAGTTGTGCCTATTTTAATGAGAACCAATTATCTCACGCTTATGCATGCATAATTGAAGAGAGCCAGTATTTTAAATGGGTTCTCTCTAATCATTTTTTAAGATCTTTTTTACTACTAGCTCCAGTGTTGAATTATTTTACAAAAACCTGGCCATTGATTGGATTCAAAGGTCCTCAAATTTAAATGAAAAAAATTGATCATAATATTTCCCGATTTTAAACATATCTGACGGCATGCCAGTAAAAAATGAATGTCCCCATATAAAAAGAAGTGTTGAAAAGGTACTGGTAGGCAAGACTCCCAGGCTTGTCAACCGAGGCCTATGATTTACGTACTAATTCGCCACACGAAAAGAAGCCAAAATGTACTGACGCAGTGACATATTAGTGACATATTGGGGTCTATTTGTTGGATAAGGAAACTTTCATTATGGTTTCACGTTCTTTTAAAATACTGGCAAGATTTAAATTCTCTGGTTCAGGATAATCTTTATTTCGATTTAGATTTGTTACATCACATAATATTATAAAAACTTGAGGTAAATATTATTAAAGGTGATATTTACGTTGAAGGGTTCACTTCTGTCCTGAATAAGGGTCTGGTCATGCAACGGAAAATATAATATATCATTGTATATTTGAAAAAATACATCATAAGTAATGCTAACTTTCTAGTATGCATGTCGTCAAAATTCACCCTGTTTAAATAGAAAGACCACCTAGATGCAACAAAAAATCGGGCTTGGACTATTTGTTACATTAGATAATTATGGCTAATGTTCCCAAACTTAGAAAATGACATAAAAAATACCACAGCAAACCTACAGACTAAGCGAATTTCCATTTGCCTGATTGTGCCTGAATGTTTCCGACATATCTCCTTTAACATTATTTCATATTAATTCCTTATTTACATAACATTAGTTAAACGAGTACTTAGGTTTGCTGCCACAAGGAAAGTAATACAGTTTTATTAGTTTTGTATGAAATAAATACACTTTCAATATTTGATAAAATAATCATAAACACTACACCAATTTACTTGTACTCCATAAAAACAACATAGTCATTTTAACTAATTTACAGTTATTTTTGGAATTTTCTCCTTAAACATTAAGAGGATAATGACGTTTCAATATACTCATTTACTTTTTTAACCACTTCTTAATGATTTGGATAGAAATAGGAGGGTCCCAAATGGTTAAACCCAATTTATACCACTTAAAACCCCCCATAAACCCCATAGTCCGGTCATGCTGGTTCACGAATTCGTTCGAATCGATGTGCAAATTTCATCAAAATCGCATCATTTTTGCTTGAGTTATACATATGAATTTGAACCGATGGTGTTTTCGGCCTCTGGGGACCTCAAAACGAAAAAGTAAATTAATCTCTTATTGCAGAAACCCCATAACCAAAATTCTTTTGCAGTTTTGTGATTTCGGCACCAAACGATGTATTTTAATTTTTACAACATTAATATACTAAAAAGTCAAAATAGAAAAAAAAAACTTTGGTTATCGAGTTTCTGCAATATTTTATTCAAATCGGTCCCGGGTCGAGGTATTCCCAAAACACCTGCGGTAAAAACCTTTTACCTATATGGGAAATCCGCTCAAAGGACTTTCAACAGTACCCTTGCAGCACAAAACAAAAAGTCATACTACTACCGTATCTATGGACAAGTTTGGTGATATAAATTGAGTTATATTTCGTTTATGTTGGTTTAGGCAGGGAGTACTGGTACGAAGACGCACGTATGACCCTGCAGAGCAGAGTATCGGGAAGTGCGGACGCTCGAACAAGAAGCGCTCGGAGTGTGGTGCTGCTGGTAGGTGACGGCATGGGGTTGTCTTCCATCACGGCTGCTAGAATATTGAAGGGCCAACGACTTGGCCAGCTAGGAGAAGACACAAATCTAGCTTGGGACAAGTTTCCAGCAACAGCCTTGGCCAAGGTAAGTTATACCTCAACATGTTTACAATAATCTGCACTTAAACACTTTGACCAAAATGATAATATCAATTATTTAATAAAAAATATATTTCAATAAAAATATTAAGTGTCAACAAATGATATTAATAAAGAAATTATTAGTGTTAAATATCCGCATAGTAGCCTACTAAAAGAACAAAGTGTTAATTAGTCGCAAATGAACAAACTACTCAAATAAATTAGTTTACTAAATAAAATAAAATTGCCAAACATTCGCCATTTATTGTAGATACAAAACTAAAATTTGCCGCTAACGTTTGCTAGGTTTACTTTGGCTTGGTTCAATCATCTGTGAGGCAGAATAAATTCATGTTATCTCATGACTCTACTGCCACCGCCAGAAGCGTTTGTTTCGTATCTCACCGTGTTTTTGTTGTTTTAGTGTAAATTAATTATTTTGATGCAGACATACGAATCTGAAAAAAACATTAGAGACTCGCCATTTCTACTACGTTAAACGAGAACATGGTATTCATAAATATATATTCTCCGTAGTCCTCAATTAACTGAACATAGAAATATAATACAGGGTGATTGGTACTCAGTGTGACAAAACTTTTTTGGTGTAAGAACAAAGTAAATGAAGTGTGATGATGCATATAAAATGTTCCAAGTCTAAAAACTAGCTTCCCAAAGAATTATTTTATGTTTTTCAAAAATAACTATGTTTTTAAACGTAATACAGTGATTTCTCAATTACTTGTATATGGATTTGAGTAGATAATGTCATTTTCGTTTTCTACATTACATTTTGAATAAGAATAATACAAAATGACAGAGGATCAGTTGTAAAAACTCCATTGTAAATAGATTCAAAGGAAAAAATTAAGATGTTTGATAAAAATTTAAAAAACAATGGTCTATTGCATTTTTTACACCCTGTATACAGGAAAGTGTCGGGATATGTTAAAAAATACGCCATTTTATAAGCTTTCCAACAATATACTACACTATTGAGGTTTAGATATTTTTTCAATTGTTTAAGTGGTTTGAATGCAAAAAAAGGAATTTTTTTTACGGTTTTACTGTTCAAGCTGAAACAAAAATACAACTTTTGCTTAATACATGCCGACTTTCTTTGTTTTAAATGTTAAAGACACCATGCTTTGTAGTCTTCAAACCACTAAAGCGTACATAAGCAGACATAAAGCTCAATGGTGTTGTATATGGTTGGAAAGCTTATAAAATGGTGCAGTTTTTAACATATTCCGACACTTTCTTGTATACAGGGTGTGAACAAATGCAATTGACCAATGTTTTTTAAATTTGTATCAAACATATTAATTTTTATCTTTGAATCTATTTACAATGGAGTTGTTACAACTGACCCCCCGTCATTTTGTATTATTCTTATTCAAAATTTAATGTAGAACACGAAAATGACATTATCTACTCAAATCCATTTACAGGTAATTGAAAAATAGCTGTATTAAGTTTAAAAAGTTTTGGGAAACTAGTTTTTAGACTTGGAAATTTTTATATGCATCATCACACTGCATTTACTTTGTACTTACACCAAAAAATTTTTGTCACACTGAGTACCAATCACCCTGTATATACTTCAACCGTAAAACCACTAAGAACAACACTTTTAAGGTATTTTATCACCTTTAAAGAAGTGAATGATCAATAACCATTGCCTTAGTAATAAAATTATTGTTCAACATATTGCTGTTATTTCCCTTTACGCAGTGGTGCGTTTAAAATACGTGGAAATTAGTGAACGATAGATGTTTTGTAAAACAGATAACAGCTTCCTCCCTGACAAGGATCAGCTTTTTTAGACCAAGTCATTCATTAAAAGACCAATGATCGAGGAAATTACTCAACAACGAGCTACCGAACAACATAAATTTATAGTTATTTTCGTATAAGTAAAAGTGATAGTCGCATTGAACTTTCCAACTAAGGATAGCCACAGCCTAAAACCTTGACTTAATTTTGGAAACTGTGGATTGCTAACATTAATCAAGTTAACTTCAACTGTAGTTCATTATCCTGTGTCAACAATGAAGTTCTACAACACGACGCATTGTTCATTCCCAGACCAGACTCATATACCAAAATCTAAGCAAACTATGAACGTTTTTTTCACTTGGTTATCCATTTTGTGAGCACGGGTCGTCCCTATTAAGACTATATTTACATGTGGTTAACCAAATACTTAATTGTAATTCGAGAATAATTATCACATGATCATGGTAGTTAATTTAATAACAGTATTTAATAACATTGGGAATTCTGCTATTCCCATACAGTGTATTTCAATCTTTTTATAGCTCAATAAATCATGGTATTTGAAGCATCGAAATAAAGTAAGTACAATTTAATCCAAAATTTAAGTGTGGTAGTTGTCACTTAATGTGGTAAGGGATTTTAGTTATTTAAATTTCAGCGATATTAAATATTTGTGACTGTCTAACTCGAACTACTTTGATCACATAGGTTTTGAATGTAAAAAGAATTATGTTATAGCCTTTACTCTAACAGACCCACTTAAAATAAAATTGTATTTTAAAGTAAAAGGGTAAAAATATCATTTTTTTTTCAAATCCAAATCCAGCATTAGCTATATACATTAAGTAATCACAATTCAAACTCTCTTTTGCTTCTCTGTCAAAACAGGACACGGGGTGGTAAAAAAGAATACAATCAAAAAGTAAACCTTCCATAGCAATGTTTTGATTCCAATAGAAGCAACAGATTTTAATATTAAATACCTTCATATATATTTATCAAGTTTTGCTTAAACGATATTATTGTTTTGTTAGTACGATTTTGCAAGTATATTCATCCAAAACACTTTTGTAATCTACTGTCTTAATAATACAAAGTGTTATTTGTTCAGTTATAACGTTTATTGATGGGTGTTAGTGTCTTGATTTCTTTTTAAATGCTGCATCCTAATTATTGTTGGACGTAAACCAGATTTAGTCTCTCTGTTAGTTTGCTGTGTATATATTAATACACCCTTTGACAGGCAGAATAATCTTTTAATATTAAGAAAATTGTGGTTAAATACCCTAAATAGAAAACCTTAAGTATTTGATTTAATAATGTAATCTTTTATTTAATTTAGCGTTAAAGACTTTAATACATTCACATAAGTGACCCATTTGCTGATGTCAATGGTTGCATTTACTGAAAGTTCTTTTTGGAGTAGTTTAATTTTATAAAAACCATAGTTATAACTTACTTCGTGTCTAAATTATACTAGGTGAACCTAGGACTCATACTAGGTATACTATATACTAGGTACATATACTAGGTAAAATGATAATCATCGTTCTAGAAATACATTAGAAGCGTAACAATAAATTATGGATTTTTAAGAGTTTTTCCTCTAACACTTTGCCCTTTATTTCAGTATATTTGACCGATCTAATAAATAATTTATTTTAAGCTCAGTTATGATATTTATTCTTTAAGTTAAATTTAATTAGTTTGTATAGTCTCATGAATTTAGTTTGAATCCTTATAAACTAACGTGTATAGCTTTCAATATCGCTATTCAACAATTTAGTATAGTTATATTTTCTTGAAAAACAAAATTTGAGAAACCCCTTTACTGAGTTACAGTTAAAACACATTTTTGTAATGGTCACTTAGTACAAGAAATTTTGCTTTGATTTATATTTATCAAATAATAAAAATAATATCCAATACCTTTCTGGTACAACGACTGGTAGTAGGTAATCGTATTAGTCTTTGCATCCGTATAGTGTACGAGTATAATGTAAACTTATAGTTTGAAATATAATGTGTACGTATATTATATAATTATTATTTAGCTACAGATTGATATGAAGGAGAATACTATTAGATCTAATAACCATGACACCAAAGTTTTGCAACCATGGTAACCGGAAGATTAACCAGAATATTGTCAAAAGAGTTGTTTGCATAAAGTGTATTACCTTATTATTAATGTTACTCAAAGTCTTGAGGCAATCTTAACAACGATGAATAATTTACTATTTCCTTGAACTTTGCCTTTTCATCCCGTTGTGAAGTACCTGTTTCAACGGACTGTAAATATTATATAAATGTAGATTCAACAACAAAATAAACTATATTCTCTATATAAGTTATTTTTGTAATTACAAACAGATTTTCGGTAAAATTTGAAAGAATTCTCTATTTAACTCAAACCATCTTGATGTTCCATAGCATATAGATTTCTTAGCATTATTCCTTATATCCTGCTGCAAAATAAAATATATATTCGTTGCCAAAACGCACAGCAAAGCATAACAATCCATTTCATTCCTTTTGTGGCAAGTGAACTTGATACATTTTTGCTGTCTTAAACAGGTATCAACTAAATATCTATAAACTCTGTCTAAGCTAAGTTAAAATGCGCTTAAGTTAAATTTTGTTACTGCTATGAACTAAGACTTTCTACTTTAATTAAATAAGGGTAATATTTAAAGATTTACAACGTTAAATATGGATACAATTATATCATTGGTAACCAATTTTTTTATATAAAGTTTATACATTAGCCTACAACTAAAAAAACCATTATCTATGATATCCTTATACTGTATTTATTCATCTAATTTATTTGTGATAAATCAAAATAAAACTTAATTATATATAAACATTTTCATTCTCTATATGACGTGTATACAAGTAAAAGGTTAATACTATTTGTTGTGACTGTTGAGTAAATTTGTTATCAGGTTAAGCGACCATGGTTTACAGATTAACGGCTTATCCCTTGGTTGCCACATATTTTTCTTAGAGATTTTGCTTCGTAAAAAATATCAAAACTAAATAAATATTTAGTTTTGATATTTTCAGAATACAAATTGATTATATCCTTAAGGGGATAGAAAAAAACTATATTTTTCTCTGTGTATTATATACTCGTCACACTCACAAAATGATGTCTACCTTATAGTACTGGAGTTATAATTTAGCTGAAAGCACAACAAATACCTCAAATAACACTTGTAATAATATATTTACACTTATACAGTTTACTAACAAGACAACACAAACTAAATACATATAAAAGATGATAAATGGTACCACTTTTATATGCATTTACCCTCTTGTGAGTAAACAGTATAAGTGTAAATATATCATTACAAGTGTAATTTGACGTATTTTTGTGCTTTTAGGTAGTTTAATGTAGTAGGATGCTGATAAAGAAGTTATTTATAATTTTGATTCAGGGAGCTACAACCACAGCGAAACTCGAAAGGTTCGTATTACTCTAGGTTCTTGGATCCAGGCACAGAAAGGACCCGTTACGTTGATTATACAAACTGCAATGATTAACGTTTATTACTTTGTAGTATTTAAAATTGAACCTTAAAATGGTAACAAAAATGGTTTTTTACGTAATCGCTTTTCTATTGCTGAAATAATATAAAATTTAGAAAAGACTGTAATGTTTTATGTCTCATGTAAAGAGTACTTTGCACTTTTTCGCACCCATAACACGTACTGCCTCTTGCTGTGGGGGCATTCCTCTGAATGTAAAAACATACTTCTCCAGCAAAAAAGCTCTTAGGTTGATGGACTCTGCTGATTACTTGGACCATAGTAGGCCTATCTTCGGTAGACTGGGTATACTGACTATATTAAAGTCAGTATATATATATATTTTTTTTTTTGCTTGACCTACATAAAGGAACCCACCTATCCCTCACAAAGTGAGCTTAACAACACACGTACAATATCAGAGGAAAAAATCTACTCGATGTGCTATTCTGTCGGCTGAGTAAGATGAAGAACTGCTTCCCAATACTAGCGATGAGACTCTTCAATACTTTGCCATCTAGTATAAAGGATCTGGAAACCCTCAAGTTCGAGAAAAAATTGAGAAATGGCTTTAAAACACACATCTACTCTTTCTCTCTCCCAATTTGTAAATGATTAATTCCAGTTAATTTTCTTTGTGACGATGAATTGCACAGTTCAAATTAGTAGTGTAGTTTGACTCAATCTATCCAGCCAACTGCTGGTCAAGGATTAAGGAAGGAAGTATGAAGAAGAATATATTTTAGGGAGTTAAACATCTATAAGGTTATAAGGTGATTTTTTTAATGGCTTTTCCTTTGAAATAAATAAATTTATTAAATTAATATAAGGTATTGAATATATTTGCCAACATGGAACTCTTTCTGTGCTTCCAATGATTTAATAGTAAACAATTGGAAATTGTGGATAGCATATTGACAAAGCCAAAATGAAGAAATGAACATTTGAGACATATTTCCACCTAGCTTCAGTATTATGCTCAAAAATGGTGATAGAAACTTTGTCGTTTATGAACATATATGTGTTAATAATATTCTTGGTATAACAACAATGTATGATTAAAAGTTAAATGTCTCATTTTAAAGTGTTGTTTAAAACATTAACTTCAAAATTTTAACTAAGATTGTATAACAATTGATAATTGGGTATTCAATACAAATTTTAAAAACAATCTCCTAATAATCAATACAAAAGGTTATTCATTTATCTAGCTCACAATGAGTTGGAAACAGTTGAAAAAAGCCAACGAAAAATTATTCATAATATGTCATTAACGCTAATAGCTTTAGTGACGTGCACTATTAACTTATAGACGTTAGGAAAAGTAATGATCTTGAAATCTACAGTACTTCAAATAAATGCATTTAAAGTCATTTTTACCCAGCAATAACTTGATATTGGCTCTAGTTAAATGAAAACATATGGTTGCCGCACCCTTTATATGCATGTTTAAATTTAATTTAAACTGATTAGGATTCCAACAAAATTGCCCCCGTGAGCTTTCCAACTATTATTGGGCTTTATTAGGGTTTAATCTATCGACGCGAATTTCACTCTCTGTTACGCCTGTTATGTTAACTAAACTTAATTGAACGCATATTGAAAATGTTGAGCTTCGAACGTTTTTTATTAAAATACCTTGCTCTATATATATCTGCACTAGTTACAACATCCATATGATACTGTATATTACAGCACACGCATGGTTTATTAGGCAAATTCATTAAACATTCTTAGTCAGCGTTAATTCACGTAGGAATATTCTTATCCAATGAGAGGTTATGTTATTAATAAAGTTAAGTAGGCCTCTTTTTGCCTTAGAACCATGTACCCATCAATCCCAACATGCAACTGTGGCATTTTAAAAGTTGTCGAACGTAAACAATATCTAGTCCGTTAATCTTTTTAGTGTGGATTTTAACAATGATACAAATAATCATGGACCCAAAAACTTTTATATGATTTAAAGAGCGTGTATTTGCATTCCTTAAATAAAAACATCTTTACTAGGAATTTATTTTCCAGCTCATACAAAAACATATGGAAAATAAAATTGCAATTTTGATGCCTAATTATTAATCATGGATCAATTCCTTTAAAATACATGTTCCATTTTATATTTTATACATTTTTTACATTCGAAAATATGTACATTACGTTATGAAGTCGTTAGAAGTATTTTAGCTTCAATTTCTAAGTTCAAATAGACTTTTAGTTACATGATACAATCTTGAAAAGAATTGTTACATATACAAATGTATTTACAATACAAATCACTGGGTTCATTTAAAAAGAATCAGACTTTTCAACATCAACATGTTAAATTGTATTTTTAAACAAATCCCTCTCAGTATATGATGAAAACCCGGCCCAAAAACAAAAAAAAAATAATTTTAATAACTAACATAAAATAATACAAACATTTTGGTCAAAAAGTTAATTAATTAGACAAGGTGCAGTATTAAAATGTTGTGCCTAGTTCGAGCTTCAGAGTATATGCTTCCTTTGGTTAGAAGTAATGGCGCAAGCAGACAAATCTTCGCTTTATGAGTAGACATATTAGTGTAAGTACATTATTCTGTTCACAAAGTTTTTCATCTCAAATATATTGTTAGTACCATAAAAATTCTAAAATTGATAACAATAGTTTTCACTCTATAAGCTAAAAGACGAACATATATTTGACTACTTACCGCAGAATATGATAAAAGTTAATAATTGGACACTAACCAATAACGATGGGTACTATTTTTTTACATTTCTGCTCCATTTTTTGCTGGGGGTATCTTTTGACTTTAACTCATGAATCACTGGGGCAATAACGATGGGGATTAAAGCACTAACTACCAAAACTGAACCACTGACGATAAGTACTGTTTTTATATGAGTGCTCCATTTCATATATTAAGGGGGGGGGGGTGCTAAATTAAATGAAGTTACAACCCCTTCCTAACAGTCTACCGTCTACATTTTATCTTTTTTGTCCTAGGACACTAGGCATAGCCTGGGATTGTTTTTCACATTACTTCAGGCTAGATCTAGGGGTTGCGGCATTATCACTTAGATAAATTCCATTGGTGACTTGGCGGGGATCGAACCCGGAACCTCAGGGACTGAAGTCCCGCGCTCTAACCACTACGCCAGCTCGCTCCCCAATTATATACATATACATTTAAACATTATATATACATTTTATCATTGTGCTCAATTGGGTGGAGAGGGGGGGTTGAGTTCATGGACATTCCACAATCTTTATACACAAACTTGGCGTTTGGATCCTTAGCTATCCACGGCCGGCCCGACCCTCCCTCACTCGCTTCCTTGGCAGCATTATACTGCACCTGATAACCTTTTACTCTTTAACACAGAATGTTGATAGCAATAATTATTTTATCTGACGAATCATCTCAATACTTTTGTCTATTGATGTTTCAGACATACAATTTGGACGGCCAAGTGGGGGAGTCTTCAGCGTGTGCCACCGCCCTTATGTGTGGAGTTAAGGCTAACCTAGAAACTGTTGGACTCGATGGCGGAGGAAAGTTTGACAACTGTTTTTCAAGTCTCACTTCCAGAGTAGAATCACTGCTAGATTGGGCTCATCGTGCAGGTAAATTGCTTGAATATAGCTTCGCTTTTATCTCTCAGCTTAGATAAAACTTCAAGTACAGAAAATCATTATGTCTGTTAGATATCTTGTTTGACTTGTACTAAAAAAAATTATACTGTTTAAATGATTGTTAAAAAAAATTAATTTATGGTTTACCCAACTAATCCATGTGAGTACCTATTCATTCATGGTATAGAATTATACGACGATGAGAAGAACATTCATGATGATATACAAATTCATTCTTAAATGTATTCAATATTATTTAACGATATCGGGATTGCCCTTCGCACCTTTTTTAGTTTCAGTAAAATATTTACAATAAGACTGAAAAACGTGACACATCATCTTACCTTTGGACCAGTAAAAAATAAGATTTAAGTATTGTTAATTTCAGGCAACGGAATGGAATTGCAGTTGTCAATTGTGTTGGATAGGTCGTGATAGGTAAATCGCGAATAATTTAAATAGTAATAATTAAATACAAAACATATACTAAAATAACTTGATGCCACTCAATCTTTTCCAGAGTCACTTTGACTTCTTACTCATCTACAATATGACCATGATATTTCATTTGCCGTTGAAAAACGTACTAACAGATAATTCTAAAGGATAAATCTGAAAGCGCAAAAATAAGTATAACTAGATAACCTGTTGCTCAAAATCGAGCAAAACTGCAACTTGTAATAAAAAAAAAAAAAAAAAAAAAAAAAAAAAACATAAACAGCAAGACCTCAATCAAAGAGTAATTCTAAAGTCTATGACTGATTATAGAAATACGAAAAATATTATGTTGTAACAAATTATAAAACTAACCTACGATATTTAAATATAGATCCGCTCTCATACTGCTTTGGTCATTTCTTATGTATTGTAGGTGGGGTTACACGTAATATAGCACTCTTAAATTATTTCTACGATAGGTTCTGTTTTAGGCGTGTTTAAATTAGGGGTCCCAACCAAAGTCTCCAGTTGGTAACATTAGAGGGCAAGCAAGTGGATCTAACGACGGATCTAAAACGGATTCGCGTTTAACATTATTAGTAAAAAAAAATAAAATAACTAAGATTTATTTGGTCTGTTTTCAGCTTTAAAATAACGGCGACATTTATACAGGTCGCATCATTGTGGCGAGGAAAGCCAATTATTTTGTCTCTTATGATGTACATAAGAATCTCCCTTAACTCCTCGGAGCTCTCGTCCCTACAAATTTCTGCCACAGTTTTAAATGATTGGGCAAATGGGTTGGCAATGTGACCCTATTTCCCACATATTTTTTCATTGAATCTTTCCTTTCAAGTGTTATGGATCTTGAAATTGTAGATCCCCTGTATGATCCTCTCATTTAAATGAGTTTCAGAGCTGACCATGGCAAAGGCGGAATTGAATTGACAAATTTTATTCTAATAATTTCTAGATCCAAGCCTCACAGCCCTGATTTCAGATTGGGAGTTTCCAATAAGTTCCTGAAAGTATGGTGAATTCCGCAGATGAGGTAAATGGTTCCCTCATTTATGGCAACAAAGAGTAACAATTGAACTGTATCGGCCAGAAAGGGTAGCCACCACAATGTAAACATTTGTCCATTTGTTCAAGGTTAGATGTATGGGTTTACGTGTGGGCACGATGGGTTGCCACTCTGTAATCTTCAAATAATACATTGGGAGATTGATGCAAGCGGCCACATTCGCGTTTCCTCTAGCCACTACTGGTGGCATATTATTTTTAATTTAGATAAATTACGAAAGTTAACAAAACAACAGAAAACACTACAACGGAATTGTTATACACATTGTAAAGTACATGATATGGTGATGTAAATGCACTGAAAATAATCACTTTCAAAAATTCATTTCATCACACCAAACTGTAACCAAAACAACACGATAATTCAGTAAAATACGATGTAAGGTAAATACATTCAACTATTTACAAACAATTCTTTGTCAAGTTTTGCTAGGAAACTCTTTATTTAAGAAACAGATTTAGTTAACAGATGTTTATATAAAAATATAAAATTCCGGGTTTGCTCTGGAATAAATATAAATATCTATGGCCAAACTTAAAAACTAATACTGTAATAAAAAGAATTAAATATTTATTCTTACTAACACTTTGTTGTCTAGTATTGATAGGATGCTCTTCATTATGAACCAGACTTAGCTAACAGATTGAAACAAAATATAAATTCCAGCTTTGCTCTGGAAGTTTTAAGTCCTGCAGTCTGTGGTTAACCTTAAAAACTATTTCAAACTACATCCATATGTTATTTGTAAACAAAAGGAAATGAGTTTGATCAAATGTCAACAGATAGCGCCGCCTTCCAAACTTTAGCCCTTAATTGTACTTAAGTGGTGCCCTTTCCAAATATTCTGAGACGTATTTGCACATCTACATGAAAATACCTTTAATTTGATACCTCAAACTTTAAAATCCATCAAGCCGTTATTGAGTTATGACTGTGAAAAGAAAACTGCTTGCGTATTAATATATAGATAAGTTTTATGTTTGGCTTGGTCCTACAGCTTTCTGGATTCCTGACTGTCGTTGGACTCGAGTTTTGGCACATGGTCCGGAAGACGGGGAAGTCAAGATTAAATTGAGATGGGTCAAAACTTATAGTTTTACATTTTCCACAACTGGTCCACGTTAGGCACGACTATGCACTAGAAGACAACCTTTGTAGTGTCTGTAGTCATAATGGCTGGTGACTTCAACGTGAGAGCGCGAGCGGTTGAAAGGGGGTTACCAGTCACAAACGCTTGGGCAAGGCAAATTCTGGTGAAGCCCTTAATAATTAATTCACGCAGCAAGTCAATACTGAACATCTCTTAAGTATTAGCCAAGCTATTCGCTCTGGTGGCAGAGTAGAAAGTGAGCTGTGATGTGAGCTGAACCAGTGGCCAGTTTCATATGGAAGAAAGATAACTTTTTTTTAATTTTAGTACCAAAAACACAGTTAGTTGGAATGTGGCCACACAGGACAGGGGAAAAATTACAAAGAAGCTCATTCATAGTATTGAGGGTGATCTGGTAGCACGATCAAACTCTACAAACAGGTTGTAAGTTGAGGGTTTTGTGAACACAACAATTTAGACGATAGAATTTGCAAGTGACTCGTCGGTGGATCGGATAAAACCTTATCGGGATTGTTATTAAATCCACTGGAGGACTGACGAGATCGTGGGGCTTAGGAGAAACGTACTGAATGTGTTGTAGAAAAACACAGAGAGCTCAAGCCCGGCAGGTCGGCTGAGCATAAAACTGTAAAAACCCAAAGTCAATCTCGCTGCTCGAAGAGACTATGTAAGGATATTGACTTTGATTCCATTCAATTGCTACAGTTTAGTAACTGTTGAACTTAGACGATTGAGGAGAAACAGTGCAGCAATGTCGGTCGGAGTAGTTAAAAAGGCTAAATCCAGACTAAAAAAATGAACCATAGTGTAAATTGTCTGCTTTGTATTAAATTCTAAATAAAAATGTTCAATGATAAATGTTATGAAATGAAATAATAATCTTTAATGTTATACAGTTTCATATATTATCAATTCCGTATAATGGAATGAACTGTCTATTCAAAAAAATGCACACTTGTCAAAATATATCCCCATCCCCCTATAGCTGAAATTGCACAAGTAAATCACTATCATGCTCATGTAAGATTGTAATACAGTATCATCCTCTATTTCCATTTCTCTAAAGAATTCCTAAAAAAGAGAGTACTTTTGTACTACATACCTTTGATTGCATTATAATTATAATAGTGTAAGGAACATTATATTAAAACTAAAACCAATAAAATTATAATTATTTACGTCGTGCTAGTGATGTTTCAGGGAAAGCGACGGGTATAGTCACCAACACACGGCTCACTCATGCCACGGCGGCTGCTCTGTACGCTCATTCTGCAAGTCGCTATTGGGAGGACGATTCTAAAGTACCTCCTGAGTCAAGAGCTGCGTGCAAGGATATCGCAAGGCAACTCGTAGAGAACTCACCAGGCAACAATATCACGGTTAGCTTTTAGGGATACATATGAAATCCGATGCCGTAACTACTATTACAAAACATCTAATGACAAAGATTTTTATTAAAATTGTTTATGTACCTTAACGAAATATAATCATTTTTCACTAGTCACAATTCACATTATTGATTACTGTATAGCATTTATGATATACTAAGGTATATCGTACTATTGGTACATGTACGCTTTTTGATCAGGAACGCATAATTAATTATCTGATACGTTCATATTAATTATGTAAACCAAACTACCGTATAAAGCTCATTATTCATTTCCGTTTGAAACAAAAGAAAACTTTTGGTGACATTGGGAGAGAAGCTTGCGTGATGGATTGTAAAAATTGATTTACGCGTTCATTTATAAGTGTCATAGCAAATAAATATTAATGCACGTAGCGTTATACTGTTTTCATTGTTAGCTCTCTAGTACACTGCAGCTTGGTTACCATACAAACTTTATCAAAATCAAACTACCAAAATAGCACATTTTCTAATAAAATTCATAAATAAATATATATATATTATTTTCATGTAGCTTAGCAATTAGTAAATTTAACTTTTTTTATTTTAAGTTTTTTTTTTATTATTCTACGATACCGGTAAGTAATAAAGATTAATCTACGATTTTGGGAGGAAAGGGAATTCCTCCTTTTTTCCCGGTGGCCCAAATATAAGTCCACATTTACCTAATCACCCTAACTAAACTAACAATTTCTTTTTCCTACAGTAACCTGACCAAATGGGCTTCGTTGCATTGATTATAGTACAGAAAGCTGCTAATTGATGCATTTCTTTACTTTGCCAGCACTTTTTACTTTGTCGCACAGTTTTTATTTTGCCACACACCAGTATTCATACCAAACAACACAAAACAGCGTGCTTTTATTATGCACGTAATCCGTGTACGCTTGGAAATAGGTTGGCAACACTTGAAGATACTATGACCACGATCAGCTGTTGCAGTATTTCCCATTTCGTTCAACGCTTGGATTTAACCTAACCTAAAACGTGTTGTTTAGTGTTGAAAGTCTAACTATTTCTATGCTTTATAATAACTGTAGAAAAATATAATGTGTAACACGAGTGGGAATTGCCTTTGCTGCACTCGAGAAACATTCCACACTTGCCTACGGCTCGTGCGTAAACATTTCTCTTATGTGCAGAAAAGTGCCATTTCACCCACTAGTTAAATAAATATTTTCCACTTATGGGTAACATTTTACATGTTTCATAAACTAAAAACTATGTACAAAAATAAAATAAAACTGAAATTAAACACAGACATTCTAATAAGTCCCATGTCTTCAAGCTGGTGTTGATAAAATCACAACCCACTAGTGGACATCTCCATTCAAACACGTCATACGAACCAAATCTTTCATTGTTTTAATAGTTTCATTTTGTGTATAGTTGTGTTAAGTTTTAGTTTCATTGTGTTATTGTATTATTGTTTAGGTTGATTAATGGATACAATCTGTTGGGGGAAGAAAAATAATAAAAAATAAATATATATAATAAGTTAGGTAACATTTAATTATTCACCCGATCGATAAGGTAAACGTAGGCTTACATTTAGGTAACTTGAAAACGGGAGTTCCCTAACCTCTCAGTGTGGTTTGTACAGAGAGAAATATTTTAGTGAGTTTATTTAATTGAACATGTGGTTGTGACGAAGAATGGTTATGAAGGTTTATCTGAAATGTTCGATTATAAATTATCTAATTTAATTGTACATTAATAAGGATGATGATAATGATTATCGGTTTTAGGTACTGTTGGGAGGAGGCCGGCGTCATTGGTTGCCCAAAGGGACAAGGGATCCTGAGCAAACGGAAGAGGAGGGACGTCGGCTTGATGGTAGAAACCTTGTTGAAGATTGGATCAGAGATTCAAAGAAAAGAGGTCTTAAAGCGGAATACGTTGAAACCAGGGAGAGGCTAGAAAACGTAGATCGAATGTCAGTGGACAGATTACTAGGTGAGAACTATTTCGTAGAACGGTTAATTGTTGACGATTATTGATGAGTAATGTTGACATAGAAATTTTTTTGTTGGTATGTTACAATGACTAGATTTACTATTTAATTTTGAGATACCCAGAAACGATTCAATTACCCTTACAACCTAAAGTCACCATTGATTATTAAATAACACCAACATAAGATTATTATTCCAGGAAACACATCAAAACCCAACAAATTTCCTGTATAACAACAGGTAATTTCCATACTTATTAAATTTCCTGGTTCTGGTTTGGTTTTACGTTATAAGGTCACTTGTAATAAAAGAAAACTAGGTAACAAAATGTTTAAACGAATGTAATATACGGTACATAAATCATTACTGTAGGTAAGGCTAAGGACCAGCCGAGCGCAACAAAAGAAATGGAAATTATGGTAAGATTATACAGAATATATCATAGGACGTGTAGTAGTCCTTTGTGAATAGCAAGCATTTATCCCAGACTTTTACTGGAATTTCTTATCATCCCAACAACCACGACTCTTATGTACAAATTCCTATTGTTAAGCATAAAAAGATGGGTACATTTGTAGTTCACCCGCTGTTAAACTTAATTAATTGGTTAGGTAACCAATCAATTTAACGTTTTTTTACCATTCCTATTTAAATGATTTTTTGTCATATTTAGAAAAGTACGAATGGAAAAACATTGTTAAATTTGTAAGTTTAAAAATTAAATTGGATCAATTATCCAAATGTCATTAATTTAACACAAACTGAATTTTTACAATGTGTTTTCAGCAAACAATGTGAGGTTAAATAGTGTAATTTAATTTAATTTAGATTTTCAAAGTAAAATCTACACGCACAGCAAACTCGATTCTTTATTTGTAGTTATCGAAATCGAAAACTGATCAACACATTAACTGTTTAAGAACACTTTGATCCCTCCATGTAATAAGAGTCCTTTATTTTTGCAAATGTCTCTTTAAAACTGGATCATTTATGCAGCATCACGAAACTACGGTTTATATAGGCCTGACTTTATAATCAATATCCTTGAATCCCGTTTACACTTCTCAATGTTTCCAATAATTGGTTCTCTAACTGACTGATGTTTGGTGTGTTTTCTATTAATAATGATTTGAAGGTGGATAAATATATGTCATACTTTTATATTAAACAATCATTAATAAAAAACAATACTTTCGAATAAAAAATAAATAATATTAATAGATTTGCGATCTTGTATATAGAGTGTAGTTAAGCTACCTGTTTAATATGAAACCCAAGGAACAGTCCTAAATAACCATTAAGAATTTTAAAGCAAGGGTATTTTGTCCAAGGTCTGTTTGCTTACTCACATATGGAGTTTGAGGCTGACAGAGACACTTCTCCTTCCGGTGATCCTTCCTTATCAGACATGGCGGAAGCTGCTGTCTCCATCCTCCAGAGAAACAACAAGGGGTTCTTCCTATTCGTTGAAAGTAAGAATTGATCTAGACAAAATTATATACGATATAGTATATCTTCAAATTAACAATGTAACGTGAATATATTGTAGTACTGTACTCGTAGTCTATACCTCGTATTTGAAACCAATTGTCATTTTTCATTTACAATTATTAAATTGCAACACGATTTCTTTATAACTTTAAAACATAGTACAACTAATGTTGGCTCGATTTAACATGGCGAGTATACAAGCTAATTGATAGCGTCATGTAGGGTTTTCGGTAGGATATACAGCACCCACTTTAACCAACGCCTCCGACATTATTAAGATTTCATATTTTCCGTCTGTGTATAAGCAACAGTGAGTACACATTTAGATAGTTGTTCACAGAAAGTCCTGCAGTGGCGTATACGATTGTCAATCAAGTAAATGTTTTCAAGGGTTTTATTAAAACATCTATCGAGCGATTGCGGCGAGTAAGCTGGGATAACTTACAAGCTGCGTGTAAAAAACTTGCTAGGCCTGGTAGCTTGTAAATGTATTCTGTGTAAAAGAGCCTTTAAATACATGAAGGGTATTCACCAAACCTGGGTATTACTACTGGAGAGTCGGTGCAACTATCTGACCAGTTCAGTCCATTCTTGCACTGTATCGGCACACCCTTTGCAATTCTACGCTTTGTAAGTTCCTCGTAAGCCTGAGAACCATGTGGACGGGCAAATGCAAATTCAAAAGAGTCCGCCAACCTCTTTTGAATAACAAAGAGTATACAAAAATAGAATAAAATCATAATGTCTACTTTAGACAACTAATTTGTCTACCCAAACAAATGTTGGTATTGTGGAAACAGTTGAAAACTGGCTTGACCATTTGTTTAGTGCAATATACTGTCACAGTTCTCACTTTAAATATTTATTATTGTTGACCTAACACTACTGATATTTGTGAATTTCATCACTAGGGGATAGAGCGGCTCTGTTAGACAATACCTTAAATTTTGGGAAAAAATTTAGTGAGTGTCCGTAGTATGAAACACACAAATTTGCCAAAAACCTTAAAAAATTAAATGAACGTCTGTTTTCAATACCTCTATTTTGGTTTTGTAATTAAAAATAGTTTTTAATATGAGTATATAACCAAATGTCTAGATGTTATAATCAAACTTTCATGTACTTGAAGCCTTTCACCCTCCTTCAATTTTATATTCTCTTTATTTTCGATATCTTAAATTTCAATCTTGAAATGTTAGAACCCACCAATTATCTAGCTAAAGAAGAAGCAATAATACATGAAGCCTCTTAAAAACATCATTTACAATAATTAAATGACAAACCCAACAAAAGCTGTTCAAAATTATAGCAATAATTGTTGTGTCTTATCCTCTTATCAATATTTTTTCAAATATATAAGAACATGTGCATACTATATAATGTTGGATATGATTATTCTACCACGTATCCGTTATAATGCCAATTAAGATTTGATTTATGATCAAACCTTTATCCTTAATCTCTAACACATACATCATTGATACATATATATATATATATATATATATATATATATATATAAAATTGAACGCATGAATAATAAATAACATATAAAACAAACAAACAAAAAGAAAACATGATTCTAAAAACATCAAGGATTACAAAAATTAACAATTAACGTGTTGCTCGTATAATATCCTTAACTCCTAACTATACCAAAATTCAACAAACACCTTAACATACTAATCAGTTCTTTTTACCAGTACCACTGTCTATTATTGTATTTACCTAGGCTTGCTTGATCATTGATCAATGATCAAGGTATCATAGTTATATATACATAATTGATTTCCCAATGGAAGCCTTACTATGTATAATTCAATTTTATAATGTTCTCATGGGTTTAATTTAATGATCGGTATAGAAAACACAACTAAATATAGTGTTAATGTGAAGCGCAAGCTATGACAAATTAAAATAGTAGCATTTCACCAACATTATGGTACTCACTCGTAACCCTTGCATGAGACACAGATCAAAATGTTTTGGGTTATGTTATAGGATGCAGCGTGTAGACCTAAATCCAAATACCCTAGTAGTTGCAGTATCGAAGTCAATGATAGTAGTAGCCACCTTTTGATAAAAAAGCTGTAATAATTTAAATGATTATAACCAAATTGTATAGCGGTAACAATTCAAATAATAGTATGTTTCAGTACTAACACCGAAAGTGGCTGTTTCTAGTGTGCGCTCATGTTTCACACCGAATTTATCATGTGAGGCGAAGCCGAGGACGGGAATAATTGGAGCAAGCTACGGAAAATTGCTTTCGGTACAAGATAATTTGAAAAAATATTCATATTCAGAATAAAAGATTTCAGTAAAAGTAAAACTATTATATTTCCTAATTAACATGTTATAAAATAAAAGCAAGTAGGTTATAACAAACCTCTATAGCAACATACTGTATAATTCAGTTTTTAAGTTCAAGTTCAAAAGTTCAAGCTTAAGGTCATGTTTATTGTACAGCGAACGCGCACTACAAGCTAACTAGCTTATTTATGTTTTTTGTACTTGTATTATAAAAAGCAGTTTATTTAAATTATATAAACACATTGTAAACAAACACTAGCGCACGTATTGGTCAAGCAAGATACTTTTTAATAAGTTGCAAGGTAAATCAGTTGATCTTTTTTCCCTTTAATCGTTTTTACCTTTCTCTAAATTAGAACTTGGGAAGCAATTACTTTTATGGTATCTGCTGTTATCGATAATAGTTACTTTCAGTTCAGATTGTGAAATAAAATAATTCAAACCATGTACAAATGTTTCTAATGTTTCCATAAAATATATCAACAAATCTATTGTCATAACCTTAAAACTTTGAAAATTCGGCGACAAAGCATGTATTTTAATCCGCAACGGTTATGGATCTTACTTATAAGTAATGTCAAAATCTTAATTAAACAAACCAAACCTTCCACATAGTTTTGCAAAGAATTATATTAAAAATGTTTGAATCAGCTGTTTGGATCTCAACGCACAAAATTGCATATTTGCAAATTTGACGGTTCTGTTTGTTTACATTGAAATGTAAATTCAAAGGCAAATGTTGTATATTTTCCCATCCTGCCATAAAAGTACATCAAAATTTATTTCTAAAAACCTCATCTCAGAACTGTATATGTCCAAAGAGGGTTTCCAGAGGGGTTCTGGGAAGTTAATAGACCAATGATTAAATTAAATTAAATTAGGTGTGAAACTTGAGCGCACACTGTAAACAGCCACTTTCGGTATTAGTACTGACACCTACTATAGGCTTAGGTATTAAAAACATCTTTGTGCAATGTTTAAGGTACACCGATTACGTATTATAGTCGTGGCAGGTAGACAAATAAATAGACACCTCCTCATTTTTATAATATTATAGATCAGTTGTAAACGTAACAGCAATGATAATAATCTATAAAAAGGACAATTCAATTTCGGCTAACCTTTACACACATTAAAGACATTTAGTGAAGATTGTCTCTTCTAGAAATACAAGAAAAACTAATAAAGATCCATTTATAAGACTGTCTCCCATGCGGAACAGTTTACACTAATCCTGGAAAGGCCATCATTCATCGTCCTTTGACGCTTCACGAGCTTTTTATGAAAATAATTCATCCTTTATCTTAAAAAATATCACCCAACTTGGCAATCTTTATATAAATCTACCCTGTAAGCGAATTGCAAATTGCTTCTTTGTCATAGCTTGACAAGGGAACTAAGTTACGTTTACATTGGGATACATGTATGAGAACATGTGTGAGATACTTGTTGAATTAAAAAATTCAGAAAAACATTTTTCCAAAAAAGCTCACACATTTTGTATGAGCTTCAACATTTCCTCATACATTTTGAGTGAACAAAAATTGTTTTGAAATTTAACTTGTGTGAGGAGATTTAGGAATATTTACCCTACAGCTGTTTAGTTTTGAACAGTTTAACCGGGGTTTTTATGGGGTGAAAACTGGGTTTTCCCATTTTGACCATAAAAACATAAAATTCCCTACTTGTGTCTAAACAATTTTAAAGATCTGAAAACCCCCCTAAATGTAACTGCAAGTTTTTTAGGTGCAGGTATAACTTTTCTTAATCAACTTTTTTTTATTAAAGGTGACACTTTCTGTAAAAGGTCCTCAAAATATGTGGTGTATGCAGCAGTGATTCTTAAATCCTAAACAGTCTTACAACGTGGCCTATAAGTGGTAAAAACTTTTCGAAAAAAGTGACTGCCTGCTGTAGAAGAAGAATGTTTTGAAAATTTCCCAGAACGAAAATCACGATCCCAGCTATAGACATCAACATTCGGAATCCTGCAAGGTTCGGTCCTTAAACCACTATTTTTAATCTAAATCATACTATTCCATTACAGAATTCCACGATAACCACAATTAATTGTTACATTAACTCCAAACCAAGTTCTCACATAAAACTAAATCCACTACCCTAGACTACTTTATCTGCCAGTCATAGGTGGGACAACTTCCCGGGCCTGAATCAGCAACACTGCGGCGAAGAGGACGAATGATTAAATTAAAATAAACATTAAAACACCTTTTTAATTTACCTCTTTGTTATGTATAGACAATTTATTTTATGAAAAGAGCTTAGATAATAGTTAATCTTTACTTACTAAACCTATTATTAGCATCAATTTAATCAAATGTTTGCTTTTTAGGAATATGTACTTGTATTTAGTATATACGATAATTATAGATTATCTTTACAATAATGTTTAATTGTTTACTACACTTTCAGTTATCTGTGATATTCAGTTGTGATCAATGATATTGTGATATTATTTTGGATTGGAATAATACATGGGGAATGTAAATTTATCATGTGTTAAAATCTCGAACGTATTATACATTTTTTATTCGTGATATATTACAGAAGCCTTGGTGAAATAACCGGAAACGATTCTTCATCAGTTATTGTGACAACATGAATGTCACCACTATGTGTGTTTTCCTCGGTTTTTGTTTCATATAGGGCTTATAAAACGTACATTTTCTTAACACTTATTTTGGGATTTTTTTTGTTCAAATACATTATGAATTAGATATAACTTTTTATTATGCCTTTTAAATTCTTATAAATGCATAACCTTAGCGAAGTAGCACTACGTTATCAAGCAAATCAGTCAATATTTTTTTTTTATCAAAATAATAATTTTTTTTTTTAACTTGGTGAAAAACTTACAATTCTCGACTACGTCAACGACGCAACAATACTTGCTTTAGTCTTGACCTTCAATCTGTTCGTTCCAATCCATCTATTTATTGGGATGATTTATATCCATAATACTACCATATGTTTCTATCATTCATCATGCAAACAGATGAAAAACGTAAAAGCTAAAACAAATGTACAGAACTTACCGAAAATGGTAAAGCTTATTTGTATTATTATTTTCCAACTGCTTGGCTTTACTTAAGCTGGAAGGTGAAATATGAAGCTTTGTGAATCTTATGAAATTAAATTAATTCAGTATTTTGGCCGTTTTAAGCTATACACATAAAGTTTTGAATTCTTCACTTTTAACTCCAAATGTTATAACGATATCTTTATAAACAATGTTTATTTTTATTTTTTTGTTTTTATGTAAGTTATTTTTTCTATGGTTCATGTTACCTGGGAAAATAAGTCATCCTATAGATTATCACTAGAATAAATTACTATCCTCATTAATCGCTAAACAAAATATGTAGCCGTTAAGCGCAGATAAGCTAAATCTGTAACGTTTATACGCTTAATAAACAAACAGCGCACTGCGTCAAACATTTATTTTAGCGATGTAAAAACAAAATGAAATTATTGCCAAAACTCAGATGGCTTTTGTTAATTCAATTTAGTTTTCCCTAATCAACGGAATAAATCTTTAAATACCATATAATTTAACTTATATATTTCAATGTTTAATTTTAAAATCATATTATACCTTAATGTTTGATCAAACGGAATATGTTTAGGAGTTTAACACGTTATTATTTTTAGATGTCATGCATTAAACATTTAACTGTTGAAAACTTGTGTTAATCCGATGTTAAGAGGGTACTTACATGGGTTTTGGACGGATATAAAAGTTTTGCTAATCTCATGGTAATGTAAGCTTTGACCGGCTCTAATTTCTTTGAGTTCGTTGTTCGTTTGAGATCAGATTTGTGGTCTTGTATTATACTGTATTTACTGTAAATTAAATATCGTCATCTCTTCTTCCTTTCAGTGAATGTTTTATTTTATCAGTGGAAGAATTATAGCCACTTATGATAATGTTTTTTAGGGTTAAGATAATAAAACTATTGCTACCATAATTCATAGAAAAATAACATCTTTAATATTCATGTTAACGCTATTTAAGGGATTATAATGGGCGTTTTCCATTACGATTAGGAAATACATCAACCACTGCAAACCTGCAGACTATGCCTTTGCCAGATTGGATTTGCACTGAAATATTTCCTTAATAATGTCAGATGATGAAGTGGTACGATTCTCGTAATCTGCCGAATGTCATGATTGAAAACTTGGCAATAAAGAGACATGTTGTTGGAAATGCACCACTCATTAATGGGGATGTAAGGCCAGTCTGCATCCTCATAATCTCGACACCTCTATAAAAATCCTAACATCGACGGCAAAGAGCAGTGTGTCCACCTTTAGTGCATCAACGAGGTCATTGCTTTGTTAGCTTTGGGGAACCCCTAATGTGTGGCAAAACTCTAGTGACCCGGAGCACGGAAAACGTACTACTATAACCCAGAATGCCAACCGCATGGTAAAAAGCATTAAGCGTTTTGAGAGAGCTTTGCCTGTCAATCCGTAGGCAGCGCCACCAGCGTTGCCATGCAAACGTTTTCTGTGCTCGGAGGCAGTTAAACACGTAGGTGGCGTCCCGTAACGTGGTCTCTCATCCAGTCAAGGAGTGGCCCAACAACTCCATAGGCTTCGAGTTTGGCAATAAGTATGCCATGGTCCACTTGATCAAATGCTTCCGCAAAATCAACGAGGGTGACATCCATTTGTCTACCATTTCTCATGGCTGATAGGATATCATTTTCAACAAGTAGGAGATTAGTAACTGTAGACTTGGAAGTAGTGAAACCATGCTGACCGTGGCTAATAGAAATGTGACCTTAGAAATGGCTTAAATCTTGTCAAAACCAGCGTCTCGAACACTTTTCCGATGGACGACAGTATACTGATTGGCCTGTAGTTCACCACTTCTGAAGTATTTCCACTCTAAGAATTGGGACTATATGGCCAACTTTTAGTACGGGTGGAAAGATTCCTTTTTGGATAAAGGAGTTTAAGAAATAGGCCAGTGGGTTTGCAACAGTAGTTCGACAGTACTTTAGAAATGAAGGAGGAATGTTATCAGGGTCTGCTTTTTTATCAATATTTAAGTTTTCAATGATTTCCATTACTTCAGATGATGTGAACGAGATTGATGATAATACTTAGTTGTTTTCAAATGTAAATGAGTGGTCAGCTGCGACAGGCTGGGAAAATACTGAGGCAAAAAATTCAGAGAACATGTTAGCCATCTCTTTATAGTTATTAGTCGTACGCCCGTTCAAGTAGACATGAGTTGGAAAAGCGGTTGCATTCCCTCGTAGACCGGACGAAACTCTAAAAGCTATGATGATTATTTAGGATGGAGTTACCCACAGGGATGAGATAGATTCTGTAGCAGGTGCGACTCAGTGCCTTGCAGCTGTTACGCAGAAAAGAGGATATACGATAGCCAGCAGACTGCAGAGTAGATTCTTAGCACCGGTGAGCCCATTACTTATCGATAACAAGATTTATAGGGTCTTTTGAAAACCACTTGGGAAATGGGGAGGTCCCAATCCGTTTAAAAGAGCTGCATGTAACGCAAATGTCACGTAACGTGTCAATAATCAACTTAAAATTTGCCTGCAAATCGGTACAATGATTGTATATGTGTTGTAGAGCTGGTTGTAGAGAGCATGAGTGAAGCAGCTTAAAGGTTACATTTCCTTAAGTTTGGAGAGGTACTATATTGTGGAATCCGTGCTTTGTGGCAATTATGAAGGGACCAAGACAAGGTAGTGATGTAAGGCCGGCCTAGCAATTACATCTTCAGCTGGGGTAACTAAAACGAGACTCTAATTACTAAAGACCAGATCCTGAGTAAAATTCCTATGATTCTTGGCGTGCCTTACTTGCTCCATGGAGTGACGTTCAGCTAGGTTGTCTAGAATTATTTTCGTGTTTGTCCCCAAACGATCAAATGCATATCCAGGGATGTGAGCCACCTACAGATTGCGCTGATCTAAATTACTAATTTTAGTGGAATACACGAACTTTTTTAACAAGAAAAACTAATGGAATGACTTATTGTGAGCTATAGCAACTGTTATGACCTATCAACCTGGTCAATAACAAGAGATAAGGTTTAATATAATTTTTGACACCAGTGCATTCTGTGACTGGATCACACCACTACGTTCTTTTTTAATAAAAAGATTGGCTACAGCTGGTCTATATAGATGGTATGTCGACTTCAGTCCAATAGTCAATGCTATTACATTATCCATAAAGTGCAGGTAAATACAATTTAATAATGTTTTTTAGCATCTTCTTTCACATTACCGAGCTATTGTCTTCAAAAGTGTACTTACTTATTGTAGCACTTCTAATTTCGTAATGTTTTGTTAGGTGGCAGAATCGATCACGCCCATCACTACAACAATGCGTATAGGGCTCTGGATGAAACACTCGTGCTCGAAAACGTTCTTCTCAAACTGCTGGCCCTCGTAGACCTCACAGAAACTCTCTTTGTAGTTACGTCAGATCATTCAAACGTCATGACGTTTGGTGGACTTTCTACCCCAAGAGGAAATCCTATTCTAGGTGAGGCATTTTTCCTTAAAAGAAACTTAAATTATTTAAACAGTAACTAAAGTGTTGAAGGCCTACCTTTTTTATCAATAATAGAATAAACTTTTCATAGGCTTAGTACACATACAGGGAGGTATCGTATTATTAAAAAAATATCCGCGCCGCAGAAAACCTGCAGACTAAGCTAATTTCCATCCCTGGCTGGAATTCAATTAAATTATTTCCTTACAAATTTCAGATTTATTTCCTATTTAAATATCATTAATTTAGATGAGTACTTAGGTTTGCTGCTACAGGGAAGACAGTAAGGTGATTTTATAGCTTAGTATGAACTAATTAATTTTTAAATTTCATCAATATATGTCCATTGACAAGTAAGCTACAAATATTAAAATAAACCCCCAGATGTAACCTTTGAATACCAATAACAATAGTTTTGGTTCTAAAATTTTTGGTTGTCTTTTAATGTATCTTTAAAATTAGGGATACTTCCCTGCTCCACCCTGTATATTCTCAGGTCCCGTGTTTTATACAGCTGTAAAACAAATCATGGTACAATAACTTTTAGAAGGATGAATTTGTTTATACAAACTCTCGACGGGTGCAAACTAACCGATATGTTATCCCACAGGCGTATTCGGGTCACCAATACCTCAACACATTCAAGCGACGATTTATTGTTATAAAATAGCAAGGCTTAACATTTGTTATTGTACCTTCCTTCTCGTTTCAAAAGATCTAAGATATAGACTAGATCAGTAAATTACACGAGGATAAGAGTACAATCCGGTTTTAAGTTATTGTGACAACTGAAAAAATATGTTTAAGTTGAACTTTTAGGTTACTTAGTTCGGCAATTTAAACAAGTCAAAGTTACGCATAGCTTAAGCATACCTTAAAACGCTTTGTTTTGAAAGTATTACGTCGTAAGACTTCAGCAATCGATATTGTTTGTTTGTCTAAGCGCTCAATATCCAGTAACCCTCCCCCTCGGATGTTATAGCCAAATATTATCACTAACGTCAATATATCCGTTACCTGTCAACATTCGCTACCTCCGTTCGCCTAAACTTTGTATCGACAAAACTCTAAGGAGTCTGTAACATCATATCAGAAACAGGCAAGCAAACACAGTACCCCGTGTACCTGTGATTTTGCACATGGTTAATTAAAATATTTCTTTGAACATTTTATCCATCGATATTTATTTAAACATGAATTTATTTGCGATTGAAAAAACATTTGAAATAATAATAGTTTGCTACAAATACACGATATTCTGAAATTGTGAAGTTATTAAAATTCACAATAGCATGTTTTATCTGTCTCCTTTCCCCCGCGCGATGACAATATAAACTTTTTCCTTCATTTAAGATAAAATGTTTTCGTACAACTCTACAAGTAAAACAAAACAAAAGCACGCGCCCTAAGGACTTGATTGTGATCCACATCGTTTTTAAAGTATTGCATACTTTAGTGTTGAATGTCCATAGTCTGCTACATTCAGAAAGTATATATTTTGTAATATATAAAACTCATTTTTGTGTTTTGATGTACTTTCTTTCGTTGGTAATGTAGTTTGTATTCAGTTCTTAGTATGTTGCTCATTCATAGTTTTTATTGGTTATGTCTCCATTTTTTTTAATTTTGTATTTCATAAATGTTAAATATAACGCGTACTAGTAAATAATTGAATTAAAATCAACTATTTGCAGTTAAGTTTAAATCCATGTAGAAATCTGTATAGAAAAAAACTCTAGAGTTTTACAAATCTTTGTTTTGTAGAGCAATCTGTTATGGATCTTCCAATAAAACTACCTATTATGCCTATAATCTTTAACATACTGAGGAATGGTTTATTTCAAATGTTACTTTATAACTTACAAACCTATATTTTATATTGTTTTATACTTGTTAGTGGAGCGGATATTATCAAATTACAATAGATATCTTTTACAATGATTTTGTAAAAAACTAGAAAATTATTTTGGCAACTCCTTGCACAATAAGTGTCCTAGTCATGCTCACATATTTCGGGTGATTGTTGAATATAATGAATTATATTTTGTATAGATTTTTCGTAAAATGAAAATTAGTCTTAGCTCAGATACGATTTGGGGTTACCGCGAACTCATTTGGGGGTTTGAGGAAGGGGGATTTCAATTTAATACCAGCATAACCTTTACCATAACTTATTATAAGTTTAAAAAATATATAGCGATTTAAAAATAAAATACATCAGTTTATTATGCAGATAGTCAATTAAGTAACAATAATTGATAAGGTCTGAGTAATATAACTTTATCATTAAGTGTCATGATAAATAGGGAAACTTAAAAAACAAAATAAAAATGAATCCAAACGTTATACTAAGCTTGACATTTGACACCTTAGGAGCAGACACGAAGGTTTCTGACGTTGACGGGTTGGCATACTCTACCCTCCTGTATGGAAACGGTCCAGGATTCTCCAGGCCTCGTGTGGTACCTACCAACCAGACCAGCGTGACAGAGGAGAGGAACGTGGTCCACGGGGCTGCTGCACCTCGCCAATGGGCGACCCACGGTGCAGAGGACGTTCCTATATACGCCCAAGGACCACTAGCCAGCGTTGTGTTCAAGGGTGTGGTCGAACAGAGCTACGTACCCCACGCCATAGCTTACGTGCTGTGTCTGGGCGAATACTCCAAGCGGTGCAAAACCCTAAACCAAACCAGCATTAGACAGCCTCAGGTAAATACAAATATTTTTTATCCGCACAAAATGTAGAGATTTTTGCACGCGTAATAAAATGGCATTTATGCTAAGAGACTTTTCAGTCAAGAGAATAGTAAAATGTTGTGCACATAAATATTTCCGATTCTATTTATAGACATTCCTCCAATAAGCACGTGAATCGGTTTTGTAGTTGAAATTTTCCTCCGTGAAAAGCTATTAGGTAGTCTTTTTCCTAAACCACCCTCGGAGAATAAGTCCCGTTTAAGCGTTAACACCTGATTACACAAGCTTTTAATTTCTTTTGTCTTACGCCCTGAACTCAAAATGTCCTGCGTAGGACAATGAAGGATTTTGAGAATAATTTTGATGTCCACGTGATGGCCATCGGCTAGCGACAAATGTCTCTATTCAACGAACTTCTCGTTTTAGTTGAAAGCTTTAATTTTAAGTGACAGAAAATATCTTAAAAAATAATGATATGTGTACTGAATTGCATATGTTAAATATACATAATAATATCCATGCCTCTGTAAATATCTGCCGCTCTTTGGACTAGGCTTGTAATGTCTGTTCTGAGGTTTGGTAAGAGTGTTCAGACCAGCAGAAAACTTTTCCAATAAAGCCTACCGGACAGTTAAAAATTTGTTTGCTCTAGCAGTCGCTTCTGGTAGGCATAAATGGTGTTTCATTACGATGTGGTTGATTTGCATACAAGTATATGGTCTACATATTTGTCGGAAATATTTTATATTCTAACACTTTCCAGTTTTCCTGTGGTAACACTATCACAAGATTTAAAAATTAGGTTAAGTTAAGGCATTTGTTTTAACCCATCACTTAAATTAATCTAAACTATATTTGTATTAAAGATTTTCTGTTACAATATTTAAATACCATAGTTAAAAAAAAACAGTAATCCTCATTCATAAGTTAAATCCTCTTCCAACTAAATATTCGATGAAATATCTTTGGTAAAGCAAAGAGATAAAACAGATTCTACGAAATATTAAATTCTGCATTTGTAAGAGCTTTGCAACTGAAGCTGCTTGATCAATTCATACCAAATAAGCCTCTAAAACGCATTGAAATATTTAAGCGTTGTAAATGCTGCATTATATCAATATTTAATTACTGTCCTGAAATCAATACAATATATAATCTATATACAGTATAATAACTTTGGCTTGGCTTGTATACTAATCCTGTTATGTTTAGGAATTTTCTCACATGAGAACGAGAACAGTTTCCAAAAACTTCGTGAAAACCTGTTTTATCAATCACGATGGGAAATTTCCGCGGTTACCTCCCGTTATCTCCGCGTCCCGCCACCTCCATGTACCGCTACCTCCGAATTTCAGAGTGACCCCTATAATCCTCGGTTACTTCCTGCGTTAAGACTTTCCGTCCAAACCTAACCTAACCTAACTTAACTTAACTTAACCTAACCTAACCTAACCTAACCTAACCTAACCTGACCTAACCTAACCTAACCCACGGGTTAAATTTGCATTAAATCTTCCATCCACGGGGCTTCGCAGCCGTGGATGCAATGAGAGCTAACAACGCAGGCAGTGACGGGATTATAAGGGTCACTCAAGAATTCGGAGGTGGCGGGACAGATTTGGGTTCGGAGATGGCGGAACGCGGAGATAGTGGGAGCACACGATTTCCGCAATATCCTTTTAATGTCATAATAAAATGTAAGGATAAATTTGAGGGATTATTGTGGAAATTTTAAATTGTGATTGATAAAACAGGTTTTGACGACGTTTCGGGAATCGTATACTCCTAATTGTAAGCAATCGTGATTGTGAACAGTCAGACTGTGATCATTTGGGTTTACGAGGGGGAAGGTGTCATCTGTGGTATGTGGGTTCACGATTCCAAACACATTTCGAGAGGTTTTCAACCCATTCGCAGAAACCCAACGTTAACAGAATGATTTGGGCAGAATCACAAATCAATACAAACCAAGGTGATATTCATACTGCCACTGGAAGAGGGTTAGTTTTTCAGCATTCTTGAAGACGCGTATCTTAATGAGACTTAGTACGTAAAGCTTCGCATATATTAATTGAGATTCTTCCAGACTTGCAAATCCGGTCACATAATACTTAAAATGGTCGTTTATTAATACTGTTGGTTATCAATAATCAAATAATCTTAAAATAAAAGCTACAAACCAATCATTTCATATAAATACTGCCTTTAACATAACTAGCTTAAATAACATGATTATACATTATAAACCAAAATATCAACCGGTCTCTCCTGTTTAGCAGCAGTGACTTGACCATTACAGATTCCAAATGTTTGTTGTCAGCCTGGAAACTTATGTTTAGGTTGTCCTCGTCACTTTTTAGGTATTTGCAGTCCTTACAAGTTTACCCTTGTTCGCTGTTTGCATCTTGTACATAACCATTAATTATGCATTAGGAGCTTCAAATAAGAGATGCTCAGCAATTGGAGGCTAACATGAAAGAGGCATTCAGGTTCTCTATGCTAGGACAAGTATTCATGCCATAGATTACAGTATAAGACGAAATATAATGTATATATACATATATATACATAATATATATAACATTCACGATCTGGACTGTTAACAAGTAGGGGACCGCGTCTCGTTGTACCTAGTTGTACCTACGTGAATTGAAAAATATTTTACGCCACACTACATTATTTTGATGAACTTCCCACGCAAGGATTTAGTCCAGAAAACAGCTGTTTGCCGCCAGCTTATTCAAATGGGGTTTCATTACGTACTACTGTACTGCAATGAGTTTTACCGGACACCAATCAGCTGTTTATACTGTATTTAGGTGGCAATGAATGGTTATAAACAAAAACATGACTAGTGATTTTTAGTTCTTTAGTTGGTGGAAATATATAAGGATTTGTACAGATTTAGTAGTATGGCGTTAACTATCGTACGTAACTCGTCCAAAATGTGTTCACCGGACCCGTATGGTAATCCCGTACTCGACTTCGTCTCGCACGGGAACGACCACACTCGTCCGGTAAACACTTATTTTCAGGACTAGTAACGTAATATATTATTTCATCGCACTACGATGTTTTAGCTGTTAAAAACGTTAATTGGAGGCTAAAAGTTACGCATTGCTAACCAGGGCCGAAATTCCAGCTTTCGTCGTCATTAGGGGACCGAGCAGGTCTTTACGGCCGTAGGGCCGAAAATCAGATGTTCGCTTATTTACTTAAGACATTAATACAGCCTATATTAAATATGCAAGCAGTATATCCATATGAATTGCAATAGACTTGTTTAATTGCCACCGCTGCCTAGCAACTATTTATTATTATTTTTGCCGATTCCTTTAAATATTTCTTCATATAACCTTAAAGTGTTAGTTGTGTGGATTAGTGTGCATTTATTTTACGGTACAGACTTCTCAATTTTCACCCCACACTGTAAATAAAACATGTGATTGGAATGTCTTCCCTTTGTTTTGATCTTCTGTTTATATTTCGTTGTTATTTCGTCACCAGCATGGCAACCCATAAGGCCCATGTTAATTTTTCAAATTTTTTAATCAAGTTTTTATGCTTATTTTTTAGCTTATTTTAATTTATAAAAGGATTTTGTAGATAGACAGGAAAACATCTTTCTAACCATATGCGTAGATTTTCTCTGCGATGTACACGAGCTGAGAGAAAAGGTTTTAAAGAAACATGATTGCCTATTAATCTATATATATAATACGCTAAGCCGATTTTTGTAAACAGAACTCCTCCCTCATTTTTGGACCGATTTTGATGATTAAAGTGTCAAAAAAATGGCCATGATCTGCAGTTTTGCAAAGTCTTTTTCATTTTTTGAAATCTTTATTAGTTTGGACAGGATCTTCCATCAAAGTTGAGTTTTCTCCCATAAGATTAACATGGGGGAATCTAAATATTTTATTGGAAACTTTGTCTCCACTAATTTGAGAGAACGGCTGGGCGTAGAAACTTGGTTGAGGTATCCAAAGAAAGGTCTTGGTCTGTAGATGAGTTATCAAAAGAAAAACGAAGTAAGTTCCCTTAGGGCTCTGCCCCAGAAGCCTTTAAAGATCCCTCTACGGATTTGTTTACATTTTGGTAATGTGGATAATACTTTTTAATGAAACAGCTGTTGATTTTTAAATTGTATTTTAAACAACACACATTTATTGGGAGTTACTGAATTGTCTAAAAGAAGTATTTGCAATGTTATTTTCTGATTTTAAAATTGATTTTCTTCCGTATCATGTCATGTTTTGCAATATAACGTTCTATTACAAAATCAGTGGAAAATCCTTTAATCACAGTAACTCTAACAATTATTTTTTATTGAGCTGTCTTATATATATTTAACGGGTTGGTGTCTGCCCTTTTCACCTTTTTTTGGCTGTAAAAAATGGCCCAATGAGTAAATACAATTTAAGCAGCTCCTGTCATGACAGAAAGGTCATATTCCTTTTAAACTAGATTACATCATCCTTTATAAGATATGTTTATTAACAATGCATGTAAACGTCAATATTTATGTAACAGCCAATTTACAGTATTTTTTTGCTTTTTGGAAATGCCACATTCCCCTGTCTTTTGAATTATTTGTTGCCAATGAAGCCGCACGGCCATATAAACGAGGAGGCCACTAATAGTTCAAGAATAAAACCCAAATTCACTTCAAGTATATTCCACTACACCTAACATACCGTAGAGAGATTATATTGTAATCGATAAGGCTGAGACAACTAACTGACATCCCCCGTGTCAAGGTATTTCAGCTTTAACAGTAACCCCACGACCAATTTCTCAAAACTGTGCTAGAGGGTTATTCATTGCACAGAAGTGCGATGTGAACTGACGCGACCTGACGAAGGAAAAATCAAACTTACACTGTAACAGATATACCTCCCTTTGAAGTTAGAACGTGTCTTCCCAACAAACAGATATTTTTTTTTTCAAATAAAATCATAGATTAATCTGCATTACACTGATGAAATCGCAGAATTGATTAACTACATAAGATCCACCAATACGATTTTAACACTATTAAATGGTTCTTCCAAAGGAAGAGATACCAGTGAGATAACATACTAATAATAACTCCGATGACGTACGGTATGGGAAATATTTTATTCGTTGAATGATCAACCATATTTGGTAACTAACGCAATTAATTTCTTTACTGTTTATACTTATTACTCTTTAAACAATGCTAAACACTCAAAATATGTATAATTTCACTCAATTTATCGCACTAGATGAATTAGCGTAAGCCTTGAAAGTAACCGTCGATTTCGACGGAATTCACCTAGTATATAGATATTTTCTCAATTTTGTATAGTGTGGTGAAAAATAGCAATCGTACCACGGGACATTTTAAATTTGCAGTTTTTTAAATTTTCTCCGTGACTAGACGTAGGTACAACTAGAAGTAGGTACAACTAGTCGTCCGCACCACCGGCAAGTTGTACCTCTACAGATTTTGGACGAGGTACAAGTAGACCCCTGTCGCCAAAATGCAGCAGGTACAACTAGACGCCGCCGGTACAAGTAGACAGCGACCAACAATTGGACTCAACCTTGGGAATCTTGACTTGATCTCATGTGATAAAATCCCTAAACATAACAGGATTAGTAAACAAGCCCAGCTAGTTTAACTTTATGTTGTTTTCCAGTTTTGGAGGAGTTTTTAATGAAATTAGTCAATACTTTGTTTTCCATTGAATTATACTCAGAGGGCATTGCATTTTTTACTTATACCATTAATCATTTCACAATGGTCAATACAGAAACATTTACTAACTAGATAAAAAATGCTGAATGGAAATATTAATTCAGCACTTGAAACATGAGCGCGAGCCTACTTAATGGTATAATTTTTAGTACCTACTCTAACTTTCTTTTTATATACGTGAGTAGCATGAATCTTTTGAATTTATGGAACCTGTTGTAGCGTTGGGCTGTGTATGGTGAAATATGGAATATGGTATGGATGGATGAGGGTTATATGGAAGTTAGGAACATGAACTTGAGTTACCACTCAAGTAGGTGTTGGATTGTGCCAAGAAATGGCTGGTCAGGTTAATTTAACCGAGGGATTAGGAAGCGCTGAATCTGTTTAATTTAAAAGGAAAAAGCTTAAAAAGCTTTACCCAAAGGCTGATCGTGCTCATTGCCGTAAACACCCTAAGCAATCTTTTGATGAACCAATTTATAACATGCACAAATTATAACTTAACCACAACCTGAAAATCTCAGAGCTGCATTGACATGAATAACTAATAAATTCCTTACTATGGAATACTAAATTCTTGACTGAGATACTTTTATGGGCTAGTGAATTACTTGTATATGCAGGAGAAAACTTATTGATCAATTTAATACAATTTCATTTATGTTACATTGTCCAAACAAGTTTGATGTTTAAGCCTCCAAACTGCATCCTATAACCCCTTAATTTTCCCCGGCAACCCCTGACTAAAGCTCACTATTTCATATTCTTGAATTTGGCAAATTTAACAGCTTAAATACTACTTTTTTAGGTAGCCTACTTATCAAACGACGATGTTGACCGTTTGAATCAGGAAAAAGAATGGGGGGATGAGGAAAGTTAGATTTCTTGTCCTGTTCGTTTCTGCCAAAACCCAGAAGTTTGTTGACGACTGGCATTGTGTAGCTAGACCAAAAGTGATTTATTTACTGGGTATATATGAAATGATGTTGCGCACGACACACTGTTTAATGGACAAGACCAAAGATACAGTAATTGAATATGTTGTACAGCAGGTCAGGTACGACCTGTAATTAAATATTGCAATTGCTACAAGGACTACCACCTTAATTGCATCTTACGTATATTAATGGACGTATTCTAACTTTGATATTCTGTAATGTTTGTTTGTCAGGCTTGCATCACCCAAGATTCGTCTGGAGGTCAACCTAGAGGGGGCAAAGCCCTCGCCAGCAGTCAAGGCATGTTACCGGACTCATCGGCTAAGACACTTTCCACCCTTTGGACATCCCTCCTTTTAGGATTCCAGTTCGTGTTCCTATTTACAGGACAGACAATAGGACATTTCAGATGATCATATTTCAGTTACATCTAAGATTTGTATATATAATGTAAAATTGTATATATAGTGAATTATATTAATTTTACTACGAGTTTGAGTAATTTTTACTACCTTAAAATATTTAATGGCTTGTAAAATGACATTGTATACTAATGGAAATTGTCGATACTATTTCACCATGATATAGCAGTTTGAGTAAAATAAAGTCAACACCCTGGATAGCGGTATATAACCTGAAAGGTATACGTTGTAGTCACATAGTAACGACTTGTTAAATATTCTCTCTATTTCTGTCGATATTTTTACGATCACAAGGGTTTTGTTAATTCTTTTTTTAATCGTGCTGAAACAATTATTATCCCAAGAAATCGATAATCCCAGTTGTAGTAAAGAAAATTTCAGATGTACTTAATTCATAAAATGTTTGTTTTCCATTCAAAGTTAAAAGTTAGTTTACAATCTGAGTGCTGCATATGTTAGAGCTGTTTACACAAAAGTAATGATTTAAGCCGGTTTTCGCTGCCAAAGAGTCCAGACATAAATATTGCCAACACTCCTGGTTAAGTCGCTGGCAGTGTCTCTTCTTGTTTTAGAACAGATGAGTTCTTATAAGGATAAAGAAATCGTCGTTATCAAGCGATGTGACCTGTGTATATTTGTCGTGCTTTACGCAATATGTTATATTTACAAGCAGAATTTGTTTAGATATATTTTTTTAATCAAGATGAGATCGATAAAAAATAGTTTATTTTTAATTAATTAATGAATTGACTCGCGAAGAGCTCCCTATTTTTTTAATTAATATCAGATGCATCGAATGCGGTTTAAGCTTTAAGCTCTATAGTTTTAGTAAATACATACGCAATGCCCTAAAGTCGCATTTGTTTCTGAATAATAAAAAAAAATACAGAAATATGAAACAAAATTAGCATAGTAAATCTTGGTTAACTACTTGTATTTACAATAGAAACAGTATAAAAAAGCAACAACTAACTTTTCTTTACACTTTGAATTTATTTATTATCACCATGATTTGGTGAACTTACAACAATGAAACGATTCAACAATAAACGTTTGCATTTGTTGTCAAGTTTTGTTTTGTATTGTGCCTTGTGCCGTAGTAACAATGGATTTTTAAATTGATCATAAAAGGAAATGCTGTTACGGGTCTATTGCCTTTAACAATCAATATGAAGTAATTAGGGGTTTCTGGTAAAAAGTACCAGACTACATTGGAACATACGACGAGGTTAATCGAAGAGGATCCGTTGTTGACCCGGATTTCTTTTTAGAACGCTTTGGGTCTCATTTTCTTTTCGTTGCCAGCAGCTTATAGTTAGTACCAGGGGACTGAGCTTTGCTCGGGTAAGATCATTAGTATATCTGAGAGCAGCCTTTCGTCAAAGTAATGTATCCAAATCTTTTGTAATTTATATTTATCTGTTAAATTGTCAATTGCAGTTGATACTTAACAAGCACAGTAACAAATATTTTACAGACTATAAGATCATTTTAAAACTATTTTTAACACAGGGAAAGGTAAAGTCGTGTTTAAAAGAGTATTATGGTGTTTAAGCTATGAAGTAAGCAAGGAATTTTTCGTTAAGAGGTCTAATAATTCAAATAACATCATGGAACTCTACTTCTAGCAGGTGATTTTCAACAAATGCTTTCCTGAATCAATGTGAATGAACACAGTAACTCCATAATTATGTACAGTTCGTATTTTTATATAATTGGCACTTTATCCTGGCATTGTAAATATCAAGAAACGCCCTAGAATTTTGACACTATGAATTTATGCAAGTTGTTTATTGCAGCAAAACCTCGCTAACACGACACCCGGTAACTCGACAGTCGACAGCTGACGGGGTATACGCAAAAAATTGCAACACAAATGCCAAATTGGTTGGTCATGGATGTCGAAGTGTATATTGCTATTATTAATGTTAAATCGTTTGGTGGTTTAGTCGTACATTTAGCCTGTATAAACATATGTTACAATAATGTTAACGATCGTGATTCATGAAATAAAATAATAATCAGTTTACCGTAATGGCTGAATGGCATTCCATAAGACCCATGTTCAATTTTTGAAAGTTTGTACGCATATCATGGCGAAAATAGATTTTCCTGGCTATACCACTGCTGTAGAACCTATTTTGACGCAGAATCTAGTTGTACAATAAGTGTAAACGTGTTTCGTGGTGCCGATTCCGAGATCGAAGTAACAAATATTCAAACTTTGTAACTCATATACTCTTATATAATATAGGGTAGTTATAGTTATTTCAATGATGGACGAAAGTATAAAAAAATACCCGCTAGCGGAGCAGTTCAAATGAAGGGTTAAGAAAAAACTCAACTAAACGAAAACGCACCATTGTTTTGTCTACGGCCATTTTGTTCTAAATCGGAATCAATTGGATCTTGGGTGTGTTTATTTTAATGTGTTTATTGGGGCTGTAAAGTTGATTAAATGTATTTAAAGAACCTCTTTGTGAGACATTCAGCATATTTTTAAACATTAAAAAAACTGATATTGAAATGTGTAACAAGTATTGCTAGTTCTTATGGATTTCTAACAACAATGTTTGTAAAACTTTACCGAGAGTTGATCCACAGTGCTTACAGTAAAATATTGATTAGTATAATTATCATTTTACTATTTTGATTAAAGAAAAATTAATAAAATAGAGACACTTTGATTCGCTAGAGTTTATGCTTGCATTAAACATTTACACATTTACAATAAATGTTCATTTCATTTAATTTATTTCAACTGCAAAATTGCCAATTTATACATGGACTATTCAAATTACATGATACTGTGCAACAAATTTCACAAGCAAAAGCAAAGAACAATAATTTAACAATCAACAAAAGGAACAATAACAGATCAGTCAACGAGAAATATCAATACATACAATAACAATGCAAAAGATTTAAACAACAACAAAAACAGAACAATAAATACAATAAATTAATTTACAATGCGATAACAAACACTAGCAAGATCTAAGCAAACAGAAAACAGTGAGTTTTTCCATTCTAGGCAGAAACAATAAGTAGTAGTAATAATAGGACAAGTATAAACATGGGAGAGAAATTGCAAGTTTTGACTAGAAATACTTAAGCTACAAGGGAACAGACATTGCACTAACAAACAATGCCTTATAATTTATATGATCAATTTAACAAAAAAAACCATTACATGCAGAAAAGAAAACAGAAAAATTAGAGAAAGACATAATCAGAACATCAACCCGAAGAGATGATACCTATTGCACATCACTAAGGGCCACCGATCACTGAACACAATCACTAACTTGCGCCTTGAGCAGATTTCTCTTAAAGATGGATGAGCTGCAGCAGAAGATATCGAGGTTTCCAGGTATTAGGTTCCCATGCCTTTGAAGTGTCACAAATGGACTGTTCCTTCCGTAATTTGAGGAGGCTTAACCCTGGTGAAGAGGTGGACCGAGTACCAGTGGGAACCCTGAAGTTGACCTTTTGGAGTAGTTCTGGGTAATCAAGTTCAGAGGTGACCAGACGCTGGAGGAATAGTACGTCACGTAGTAGTATTAATGTTGAGTAATTCTTTACAAAAGAGCTTAAAGCTGAAAATATTGGTTAACGCCATTCGAGTAGAATAAGAATGATTATTCATTACTTTACATCCAAGACTACAACATTTGCACAAGTAATGTACAGTTACACATTTTTTCAAACGTGGCCAAACAATCTTGAATTAGATGTTTGTTATCCAATTCCCATTGGCTTTTTGTTTTATAAATTGAAAAATATGCTTTATGGTGAACTTTTACGTGGCGGTTGGTTTTAAAAGACGTCTCGTAAGTAAGTACAAACAAATTAGGAATCGGTTCAATGGGTTAAAATAAAACGAGAATCAAAAATTTATCTTTTTCAATACACAAAAATAAAATGGCAGATATCTCGCTAACGTAGAATTTGTTTACAAAAATATATTTTTGTTGTTGTTCTATTTAAGTTAATTATGGAAACAATTAATCCACATTGATTATTAATATTAAACAATGTAAGCTATTAAGAAGATAATGCCAGGGCATTTCTAAAATGAAGCACCTGCATTACTTAAATTTTGCAATATGAGCTCGTTTTATTGCTGCGTTTTATAGCCATTAAATACCATAGAAAAAAATCTAACCTACGTTTATTCAAACGAGTTCACGAACCAGCATGATCGGACTAAGGGAACGGGGGTTTATAGGGTAAAAATGGTGTTTCCCCATTTTTGATCCTAAAAACATAAAGTTTGGCAATTTGTTTCCAAACTATTTTGTAGAGCTTAAAAAAAAATAATTATGTATATTAAAGCGTTACTATGCACCTAATGGTTACGGAGAAAATTCCGAAAATTGTAAATTAAAAAGTCCCATGTTATTCTTATAGAGAATAAGTAAACTGTTGTAATTTGCCTTTTTATGAACATATTTTGATCAATTTTGGAAACTGTATTTATTTTATACTAAATTATAACACTTCACACAAAAAAACACCAAAACACTTTTTACCCTCCCTTTTGTAGCAAACCTAAGTACTCGTTAAACCAATGCTATTTAAATAGCGAATAGGTGAGATGTTTTAGAGTAGCGGAAAACATCGGAAAGACATAACTTTTGAAGGCTTTAAAATAAAATAGTGTCAATTATTTTTTTTTTTAGCTTTTGAGAATTATTTACCTCACCATATTCGTAATTCAAGTATTTTGCTGGACGTTATAAAGAATTAATTTACTTCATTCCTTGGTGAGAAGGGGATGTTAGGTCCAGTAGCTCAATAAACTCGCCAATATTCGCTTGCGGTGCAATGACCCCACAGTCAGCAATATATCTTGTTTCATATCTGGCCTCGCTGTGTATTTCATTTGTAACTTAAAACCTTGTGAATAGTGAATGCCTTGGTGTAAAGAATGTAAACTGTATGTATGTTTAAGATACCAGTGTGTATAACTGCATTTAATAAACGTAATGAAATTGTTTCAAGCACACAGATTCCAGCAAGACATGTGCTTTGATATTATTCTGGTCCTAATAAATGTTGAATTAA